TTATCTCAAGAGATCATTCATTATTGTAGCTTGCGATGTTCACAGCTAGATAGGGATTGTTGATACTGTTCTCCCCCAGCAGCTTTCATAACACTTTCTGGAAATATGAAATATAGCCAGTAAAAAAGAGTTCTAGAGGTCAGCGCCAGCTTGATTTTTCCATGTTATTTGATGTAAGTATGTGGTATGTCCTTGGCAATAATGTTTCCCATCAAGTTCTGGTTGTACAACGTAGAGCAATGGGAAGAGCTTACATTGTTTTGGGGGTTCTATGGGATCTATTAATCAATAACTAAAAGAAAGATGGCCTACAGCTACGTCTGGGCTTTTGGTTGCTACCAAGTGTCATCTCTTAAAGTCATTATCTCTTCATATAGTGTAACTTCATTTAGATATGTGTGTGTGCATGTGTGTGTGTGTACATGTATGTGTGTATTGAGTGCCTGGCCCTCCGTTATACTCCCCACTTGAACAGTCACTCCAATTATTTTCCTTTTTTGCCTTTATGCCACCTGTGATCTACTATTTGTCTTCCCTTAAAATCACCTGATTGAATTTCTTGGACTATAGAGTCCTTTAAATTAAACATTCAAATCTACAAACTCAAAAAGCTAAAACATCCATCATTTGGTGCCTTTCGAGATCCCAGCTACTTCACTCACTGTGATTATTTCCATTTCCAATCATTTTTCTGAAATATTCAAGATCAGAATTTTCTTCATATCTGAATAAAGTTTGACTGTACCCGCACTACATTTTCTTTATCTTTTCTACCAGGAGATCAACATCCAGACATTTCTATTTCCTAGCTACTGTGAAGAGAGCAGTGAGAAGCATGGATGAGAATCCTTGGGAATGTGCCCAGGAATGTTGATTTTCATAGTGGCTGTACCAGTTCATAAGGTCCCAAGAGTAAAAAGGGGTTTCTTATTCCTCATATTTTCTCAAACATTTGTTTTCATTTGTTTTCTCTATCATAGACACTTTGAAGAATGATGAAATCTCAAAGCCATTTTAGTTTTAATTTCTTTTGGTAAGGGTGTTAAACACCTAAAAATATTTCTTAGTCATCTTTATTTCTTCTTGTTAACAAACCTGCAGCTAATATCATGCTGCAAACCTAACAAGAGAGGCTTCAAGCACTGTGTTTGTATCCCTTATGCATCAAATTCTACTAAGATATATCCATTGGGGATACAAATAGGAAGGGGAGAAGTCAAAAATCAACATTTGCAGATAATAAAATTCTCTCTATAAAAGACTCTATAAAATTCTCTCTATAAAAGGAATATACTAGAATACTGTGACGTCTGAAAAACACCTTCAACAAAGTGACAGGATACAACACAAAATATCAGTAGTCTTCCTATATACAAAAGACAAGTATATTAGATAAAAAAAAAAAACAGGAATACAATCCTATTCATAAAAATGTAAAAAAACAAACAAAAACCTTTTGAAATAAATGTAATAAATGTAAGCAAAAAAAAGCCCTGAAATAGTTAACACCTTAAAACACTGACGGAAGAACTGAAGAAGAAACAAGACGAACAGAAGGACTAACACTGTGAAAACAGTCAACCTACTGAAAGCAATACACAGATTCAATACAATTCTCATGAAAATTCCAACTCAGTTCTTCAAAAAGTTAAAAAAAATAATCAAAATTAAAATTCATGGGGAAACACAAAAAGCCTCAGACAGTCAAAACAATCTTTAATAATAAAATCTCTGCTTGAAGTTTCACCCTTTCTGATTGCGAATTATGCTTCAAATGATGAAACAGAAACGGGCTTGAATAAAAGATAGACACGGTGATCACTGCAGTAAAACTGAGGTACTAGAGATATGTTCACATTCATACAGCTGCCTGATTTCTAACAAAGAGACCCAAAATGCACTTGGGAGGGAAGTTAACATCTTTAACCAGTCGTGATAGGAAAACTGAATAGCTGTTAAGTGGGAAAATGAAACTAAATTCTTGATTTCACTCTGCACAAAACTCAATCCCAAATGGTTTAGGAACTTAAAGTAAGACCTGATACTCTGAATCTTTTAGAAGGAAAAATAGGTAATGCAATCAAATGAAATCAACAGATACAGACTTTCTGAATAGGAGGTTTATAGCACAGAGTAAGACCAATAATAGACAAATAGGACATCAAATGATTACCTCAAAATTTGTACAGAAAAGAACACCATTAATTAAGTGAATATTAGCCTATAGAATTTGAAAACAATGTTTACTAGCAATACAGATGACAATGTACCAGTGTCTATAATGCAATGAACTCAAAATCTAAACACCAAGAAAACAAACAGTGCAGTTAAAATGTAGGCTATGGAGCTGGATGGATTGTCATTGTGGTTTTGGTCAACTTTTTGAACTCATAACCTCTTCACTTCAGCTATCATATTAATATCACTTGACTCGTGCATACATGTGGAGTGAAAGAGACTTTATATCAAAATATGTAACTATGAAAAGCAAGGCTTTTCTTTAGCATGCAGGAATGGCTTAGACCATTTGTGGCTTCAATTATTTATCAACATGGGTACTTGATATTGAGAGCTGATAATGATGGCATGAAGAAAATTACACAAGTAATAAAGTTTTGTTGTTTTTTTTTTTGAAACATAACTATTTTGCAGTGGATTTAAGCCTCTACTGATTGAAATAGAAGTTAATATCATGCAATCTACAGTCCTATGCAATAAAAGTCCTGATTTTATTTGTACATAATTACATATTACTAATAATTCTGCAAGAGCTAGGCCGAGAAGAACTAGCAAGCACTCATGAATTTTTCAGAATTCCAATAGGTATTCTGCTCAAGGTCTGATGACCATCACACTGAGCATGGGTGAAGAAAGCTCTGTTTGCAAGGCAATTAAATATGATTCAGAATTTCATCACATGGCATGCATACCCGTGATTTTAGGATGCATCTCTGATCAAAGACAATTTGAAGAATTCTATCTCATTAGATTAAAAGAGTCAGTCAGAGGACTGAAAATATCAAGTGGGTTGGGAAAACATTTTTCTTATCTGTGGTGGCAAGATACACATTAGATAAGTCCAACATGTATCAGTTTTTTTTTCACTTGTTTTTTATTGAATTTATGTATTTATTTATTTATTACAATTTATTCACTTTGCATGCCCACTGCAGCCCTTCCCTCATTTACTCCTAGTCCCACGCATGCTCTCACTTCTCCCCCTATGCCCTTTCCCTAGTCCCTTGATAAGGAAGAAACTTCTCCCCTTCTTTTTGACCCTAGCCTATCAGGTCTCGTCAGAACTGACTGCATCATCTTCCTCTGTGGCCTGGTAAGGCTACAACCCCCAGGAGGAGGTGATCAAAGAGTGGCCACTGAGTTCATGTCAGAGATAGCCCCTGCTCCACTTATTTGGGAACTCACTTGGAGACTGAGCTGCCATGGGCAGGGTCTCTATGTCCTCTCCATGCATGGTCCTTGGTTGTAGTACTGGTCTCTGCAGGCCCCCCTGGGCTGATGTTTTTTTGTTTGTTTTGATTTGTTTTTTGTTTGTTTTGTTTTTAGCTTGTTGCTCTCTTTGTGGAGCTCCTGTCCCCTCCAGGTCTTTCTGTCTCCCACTTCTTCTCTGCCCTAAACTTGGCTATGAGTCTCAGCACCTCCTTCGATACCCTGATGGGTAATGTCTTTCAGAGACCCCCTGTGGAAGGCTACTTTCCTGTTCCCTGTCTTCTCCTGCTTCCAATCTGAACAGTCATGTACAATCAAAGATCTTCTGGAGGTATCTCCATCCATGATCTCAAGCTGGACTATAGAGCAAGAGTAATAAAAACAGCATGATACTGGCATAGAAGCCAACTGGTGGATAATTGGAATCAAATCAAAGATCCAGAAATAAACCCACACACCTGTGAATACTTGATTTTTTTTTTTTTTTACAAAGAAGCCAAAACCATATAATCAGAAAAAAAGACAGCATCTTCAACAAATAATGCTGATCTAACTGGATGTCTACGGGTAGAAAAATGCAAATAAATCCCTATTTATCACCCTGCACAAAAGTAAAATACAAGTGGATCAAAGAACTCAACATAAAACCAGACACACTAAATCTGTTAGAAGAAAAAGTGGAGAAGAGTCTTGAACTCATTGGCACAGGAGAAAACTTGTTGAACAGAATACCAACAGCACAGGCTCTAAGATCAATAATCAATAAATGGGACCTCATGAAACTGAAAAGCTTCTGTAAAGCAAAGGACACTCATCTGTTGCTTTGAATTATTAGCTATAGTACATGTTGCACAACTGATGGATCTCCCAACCTAGCAAGACCTATTCTTCTAAAATGTCTTTATCTTTTTTTTTGTCTTATTGGTGAAATCCTCCAGTTTACCTCTGTTAGCCTAATTGCCCGTTGTCCTCCAAAATCTGTCTTCAGACTAGTGCCTAAAGTTCTTACAATTTTTGATGTTGAGGTTAAGCCAGAAAAATGCTAGTTTAAATAGCAAGTAACCTAATTCATAAGCCTGGGAGTTTATTTAAACTTTTTGTGGGAGTAGCAGGACTAAGAAAAAACACAGGTAGGGTTTTTATGACAACACAGGACCTGGCACTGCCTCATACATGGTTAACATATGATGCTTGTGTTCATATTATAATATCTATAGAATTTTTGTACTTTTATTTTTGAGTAATAATTTAATTCTATTTCTCCCTTCCCTTTCTTCCTTCCAACCATCTGCTATGCTCCTTTCCTCTCCCCTTCAAGTTCATGGCCTCTTTTTCACTAATTTTTCTTATACACATATGTCTATTTTTATGTACATCTCTAAATATGACATGTTAGTTACATATAATCTGTAACATAGATCAGAAGACATCTGCATCTTAAATATCAATGTAAAGGCCCTCTTATTGTGGAAGCCCCATAAAAGAACATAGAAAGAATCTTGTGGTAAAAATGATCTGTTCTTTTAACATTTCTTTTCCATCATCTCTTCTAGAAGTGAAAAAGGAAAAACCTGGAAAGAGTACTTCGGATTTGAAAGACAAAGGTAATGGAACACATTTAATATAACAGCAGAGTTGTAAGTTAAAGTATCTGAAGAAGTTCCTTGTACATGTGTGGCATTATTTTCACAGTTATGCAAGCTAAAATTACACAGGCTGTTTAACATCATAAAAAATACCAGCACTTATCAGAAAGTGGGAAAGGAGGAAGGCAGGTATAAAGGAATGGAGAAGATTTCTTAACAATTAAAAGTAATACAGATTAAAAATGAAATTATTAGGAAAAACTCGTCTCTATAGCCTCTGACTCTCCCCTTTCTAATATCTGTCTATATATCATCTATCTCTATATCTATCTCTACATCATCTATCTGTATCTGTATCTATATCATCTATATTTACATCATGTATTTATATTTATTTATATCTATACCATCTGTATATCTGTATCTATCATTTACGTCTAGCTTTCTGTCTATCTCTCATCTATTTATCTCAAAGAACATTGGGCAACTGAAACCATTGAAACCATTGAGGATCATTGGAGAAAGAAAAATGATAAGGCTAGTAAGAGGGACCGAGACATAGTAATTGAAGCTCTGAATCCTCCTACTTTTCAATACTCTCAGGCTTATTCTGTATGCTTTGGTCTTTTCAGATTCTTATTGCTAACCAAATGTAAAGTTCTCATTTAGAACCATGATTTCATTTTCATGATTGATGGACTGCTTCTCTGTCCATCAAATTCTACATCTTTTTTCAAAAAATAATTTCTTTATAAGTCATTCACCTCATTTATTGCAGCCTTCCCTCAAGCTCCTCTCTTTAAATTAATACACCAAAATTTTCATTTGCTATATTACATAGGACAGCTATCCTAGCTATCTTTGGTAGGGTTTTTATTGCCGGAAAGAGACACTATGAGTAAGGCAACTCTTTCAAAAGTAACTAAGTGGGGGCTTGGTTACAGTTTTGGGGTGTTAGTTTATTATCGTGGTAGGGAGCATGGTGGAATGCAGGCAGCCATGGTGCTAAGCAGTAGATGAGAGTTTCATACCCTTATCTCCATCCAGGCAATAGACAGAGAGGAACACTGGTCTTAGTATGGGCTTTTGAAACCTCAGAGCCCAACCCCAGTGATATACCTCCTCCCACAAAGCACCTCTCCTTCAACAATGATATACCTACTCCAAAAAGGCCACACTTCCAAATAGTTCAGCAACTGTGATCTAAGCCTGCAAATGTATGAGCTTATTGGGGACATTCTTATTCAAACCACTATATTTCACTATCTGGACCCCATAGGCTGGTAGCCATATCATAATGCAAAATGCATTTGGATCAATTTCGAACATAGTCTTTCAGCCTTAAAACAGTTTAAGTCTCGTGAGACTCAGGGAAACTGCTTTGCTGTTGTCATGTGCAAAATAATAATCCAAAACTTGATTACATACTTCCAGCATATAATGACATAGGATATATGTTACCTTTCCAAAAAATGAGAAAATGGAGCAGGGTAAGGGACCAAAGCAAGACTCAAAATCATTGGGATATTTCTTCATGTCTGATATAAAGATTGGTCAAATATATCAGGGCACAGGGGTCTTCTATGAGAATGTTTCTCCAACCAAGGACCATGTATGGATATAACCTAGAACCCTGCTCGGATGTATGGTAGCTCAGTATCCAAGTGGGTTCCCTAGTAAGGGGAACAGGGACTATTTCTGACATGAACTCAATGGCTAGTTCTTTGACCTCTTTCTTCTCAGCCCCCTGAGGAAGGAGCAGCCTTGCTAGGCCACAGAAGAGGACATTGCAGCCAGTCCTGAAGATACCTGATATGCTAGGGTCAGATGGAAGGGAAGAAGGATCTCCCCTATCAGTGGACTTGGAAAGGGGTAGGGAGGAGATGAGGGAGGGAGGGTGGGTTTGCGACAGAATGAGGGAGAGGACTACTGCTGGGATACAAAGTAAATAACCTGTGATTAATATAAAAAAATAAAAATTATTAAAAAGATTGTTTTCAGAACTGCCACTACTTCTAGCTTTGTTAACTGTAGTAAATTACTCTCTTGAGCTGGTTATTCACAGTCTACAGCTCTCTTTGGCAAGTATTTCACGGCTCTGGCATCTCCAACATCTTGGGGTCTCCAAAGCAATCTAGTTTTCACCTTCAGAGCCTCATGAAACAACCTCTCCAGGCTTCTGTGCAGAGCTGGCCCAGCCACACACCTAGCTGTGACCTTTCCTAAACTATGTAGCAAGATTCTAAAACCTCTTTCTTGTATCCTTAATGATAAAGCCAAAATTACATGACTGAAAGTTGACAAGTTCTTCTCTTTGCAGGGGCTAGAACTTGTGAGCCTCTTGGACTTGCATCTGCATAAGCTTTCCAGTGTCTTGGTTTTCTTCACTATTTAAGCTTTCTTTTCAGAAACTGACAACTTAGCTGGGGAAGGTTCTACCCTGAGGTCACCATCCCCTTTCGTGTTGAGTTTTCCTTTAAACTTTTTATTCCCTTCTATACAATGCTTGGCTCCAACATTACATTTCATGGTGGTGGTGGTTTTTTTTCTCTGTCCTCAAACAATAAATATTGCGTTTCTCTTTGCTCTACTTGCTCCTTTTTATTATAGATCTGGATAAGAATGGTCACCAACAACAGTATGACACAGACAATACTAGATTGTCTTGATTTTTTTTCTGCCAAAACTATTAATCCAAAATTCTTCAATTTAGCCTCTGAAAAAAATTAGGACAATGACAATAAGAACTACATTTTTTTTTGCAAAAATATCACATGCATATATAGTGGCAGAATCAGAGTAATATTTTTACAGACTCAGCATTCTCTTCTGCCTCTTTGTCTCTCGCTTTTCCTCCCCCTCTCCTCATCTTTTCTTTTTCCTGTTTTCTCCTTTCTCCTTTTCATTACCTTCTCTCTTTTTCTTTCTCCTTCCCCTCTCTACTCAAATGTACATGGGCTTATGTGTTTTAATGCACTTACTTTGCAATTCAGTCTACAAAGACTACACTTTTCTTCTAATATAGTTTGAAATACTGTTATTTTTCTTGGTATCTGTATCACGGGAATGCATAGCTCATACATTATTATTTACTATTGAGGTAACTCAAAAGGAAGATTTAACACTAACTCTTTGTATAATATAAGTAATTATAGTTTCATTTAAAAACATCTCCTGTGTCAAATCCCAAATTAGTTTGAAAGTGGAGTCAAGTAGAACTCATAAAGGTTCACAGAGACTGAAGTGACAATCACAGAGCTTATGTGGGTCTGAACTAGGTCCTTTGCATATATGTTATGGTTGTGTAGCTTGGTCTTCTTGTGAGGCTCCTAACAATATATAAGAGGGGTGTGGGATGTCTTTGACTCTTTTGCCTGCTCTTGAAACCTTTTTCTTCATACTGGGTTGTCTTTTTAAGCCTTGATATGAGGGTGTGGGCCTAGTGTTACTGTAACTTGTTATGTCATGTTTGCTTGATGTCCCTGGGAGGTCTGCTCTCTCTTAAAACAAAGTGGAAGAGCTGTGGATCCGGTGAGAGGAGAGGTGAGAGTAGATCTATAGTACAGGAAGGGAAAGCTTCAGTTGGTAATATATGGGAGAAGACAGTTTCAAAAGATATTATAAAAACCAAAACAACCAAATCAAACCAAACAAACATCCTATCCTGGCAATGAAATCTGATAGACTTAAGTCTATATTGATTAGTTATCCAAGTTAACTATACAGACTCTTAAAATTTATGTCTTAGTCATATACAGTTACAAACAAATGTTTACTGAGAATTCTCCCTTTATTTAAAATGATCTACTCTTTGCAAGTATCTTCCTACTCTTAATAAAATCATATATATATATGTATAAAATATATAATTTTGTTTCTTATGATTATTGATTTAGAATTATACAAATTGTACTTCTTTGTTTTTTAAACAGGTCACAATAAAACACTAAGATGTCTTTTTAAGATAAAGCAGATATATTTAAGAGGAATTTTTTCTTTTTAGCAAAATTTATCATACTAAAAAAAAATCAAAGAAAAATGTAATATACCATACAAGATTTGGGACATTGAAAACCTCCATGGTGTTTTCTTCATGGAGAGTCCCTTTGAAGCCTGCTGTGGAGATCTGTCTAAAGAAGGCTGAAGCACTCTCACTTGTTAAAGGGCCTCATACTTCAACTCAGTGAGTTTCAAAAATTATTTCTATCATGCAGAAAAGAGAATTTCAGCATTTAGCAGTCTCCCATAAAATCTCCTGCATGTACTGTCCAAAACCATGTTGAATGACAATAAAATACTGAAAAAATTATTACTGAAAGATCACTTGCAACCACATTTATGAAAGCTATCAGAGCATGAATAAATTAGGCATTCAGAGAATATCATTAGACTTCTGTCTTTATGCAAGGAAGAGTAGAGAATTCCTGAAAAGGAAGATTATCACATGCTGGCTTAGCTATTAGAATTGTGGATTCAAGATTTAAACTTCTCGTAACACCTCCATATACATACAAGGATGAGCCCTGCTTACGTGGCCTTGGTACCCAGAAAATAAAACAAACAAACAAAAAAAATGAAACAAAAAACCGTGGCAACTGGTTATTGGTTAGCTTTCTTGTAGCATACATGGCTTCTTTCTCAACTAAAATCAGTCATCCCTCTGGTTTCTGTCTCAGTTACGTTGTATGACCACGTTTAACATACTCATCTCCTCCCAGGAAGACACTGAACTTGGAACTTGAAGACTTCAGGCTTCCACACTGGGACTCTAACCACACCATCATTTCTTCATTCATAAAACAAACAAACATGAAACTTTTTGTTTTGGAAGCAGTAATATACCCCCACCTTTGATAAAATGAATGACTATATCTGATGTGTTTCTTCATCAATAACTTTTGATGTCAATTTTATACACTGAAATATAGATAAAAAGCTGACCCTATTTCTTCTTAGCATTTTAAGTAGCAGTATAAATAGTACTTTGCAACCAAACTTATTTTCAAATTTTCTATATA